TTTTTTATGTGTTCCACATTCGTCGGGGAGTTATGTCGTTTATAAACTCCGAAAACTCCGTGTGTTGCTAATTAGTGGAACGAGCGATTAAAAAAGAGTGGAAAGTAACCGTGGAAACGGGAGTCGGTCCAGTGTATCTTCTTCTTCTCGGCCATCGAGTTCAGGAGGTCAGCCGCTGTACCCGAAGGCGCGATGGATCTCTATCCGGTGTTTATCTTCCGTATCGCGCCGCAAGATCGTAACGCACCGTGTCGGTATAACCAGTTCTAACGGACGTTATCTAGCGCTTCGGTCGGCCCAAATGGATAGTCTTGAAATGCCAGTGCCGATTTGCGAACTCTCATAGGTCACAGGATACACGGAGTTATTACTATTACTTGTCGCTGGCAATTATATAAATCAAAATAAATCATCTGTCACGGAGGAATGTTACGGAAATATGCGGATAAATGGCTAGAGATAACAACGAAATAAATTAATGGACGATTAAAAGTGGTAAACGAAGATTTTATTAACTTTTTATGAACTATTAGTTAAAGTGAGCAATATCACGAGAATCAGCAAATTTGAAGTATTTCAAAGAAGTTGATGTTGTGTCTTGTCCTTTTTCATTCCTCTTAACTTTGTAGCCTTTCAGAAACTAATTGTAATGAAAAACATTAATTGTATGCAAAAACTTGTTGAAAAAAAATTAAAGTTATGTAATCGTTTAAGTTAAGTTTACTAAAACGCTCTAATTTCAAGTTACATCGGCACTGATAAAGAGTTGCAGAATTTAAATCACTTTCTTATATAATCTTTTTTCTTGACGTCATATCGAGTATTCTTTTATTACTTAATCGCGGAAGTGCATTCTTGAGTATTATTAATACTTTCGAGCGAGTACATATAATTGGAATGAGGCCAGTTATTTCCGGAAAGCAACAATCGCCATGTTTTCCATTAGATCAAGCCAGGTAAGAGAAAGCTCGCCCAGATTCATATGCGAATTGTCAAGATTTCTTTCTTAAGCTTTGTAAAAGAAACCCTTTCATCTTGAATATATTGTTGCGATAACATTTCAAATTAATGAGTACTCGCTTAATGTACTTCCGAAACATTGAGTGCATTTTAACGTTGCCTTTTCTATCTACGGTATCTTTAATACAATGTGAGATATTCGACAATCGAATCATGATTTAGAGACGATAAATTATGGCCGTTATTGCGAAAGTTCGATGTTTCTCAGTTCTTTGTGAAGTAAAAGATAGATTTTTATCAGGTAAAAGTATGTTTATTAATGAGATCTTGATTTAATTTTGTCTTTTATCTTAAATTTAAATTAATTCATTCAAATACGAATGAAGAATTTGCGAATATTAAACGTAAAATTGTTACACATATTTGAAACAATAAATATGTAGACCAATAAATATGTATATTTCCAGATAGTATTTCAGATAGTATAGACTATCTATGGAAATTAGCTTTTATTATTTTTAGTACATTTTTGAAGAAGAATCATAAAAATCATGAAATGGTCAATTTTAGTTCTGAGATATCGATGTAAAACGTGTAAAGTAGCAATAGAATGAGCGGGAAATCAGCGTTAAATTTGTCCGAATTTGTCCGAATATCAGGAATTGTCGGTAAACGTGTTTCTCAAATGATTTTGTAACTGTTAAGGCAACTTTCGACCCGAGGTCAGCGGTCCGTCAAGTTGAGACTCGTACATGATAAAGTGTCTAATGAGCCATGAGCCTAATTAACGATGCGTCGAGGATGACTCGGCGCTAAGAACCCACTTGGGACTGAGTATAATGCCTTGATAGCTTTGTCGTGTCTTTGCTAAGCGGGCAGGTTCAAGATTTTCTTTACGACATACATATGTTCTCTCTGAAGATGCCATTTCTCCCGATCAGATTAGGTAAATGGGAGAGCAGAGAGAAGCGTGGCTGAAATAATGGCCTACGGTGATAGAGAGAGAGAGAGAGAGAGAGAGAGAGAGAGAGAGAGAAGAAGAGAGAGAGAGAGA